ATCACTTCACTTATGCAACCCAAAGTGGTGATTCGAACTATATACTTCTTATCCTTAACTTAAATGACATATAATTGTCCCAATCTGTTTGTGCAGATATATGGAAAGTATATTGTTGTTGAGGGTAGACTTGGTATTACTTTCCTTCCACTAGATGGCCTCCCAGTATTTCCTTCTGGGTTGTGAGGGCTGGATGGATGGATTAAATCTCCCCTCATGTTGTCCAAGGTCTATCTCCTATCTCCTCTTCCTCCCCTGTACACCTCCGATTTAGGCCATGCAAAAAAAGAAAAATTCCCACATGGTGCTTTATCCTTTATAAAAGGTTTTAATGCGTCTCCAGAAAAAAATGCAAACTCACATTCCACAGGATAATACAGATTTTTTTTTTAAATGTATAAGGCCCTCCCCCGCTGAGCAGGGCAAATCAGTGATATCCAGATAGAGATTAGAGATGCTGTCTTCAGCTTGTACATTATTCGGTGGACGGGTTCGTTGATGTTGCCCATCTTATTTCCCAATGAGTGTCCTGTCTATGAACATGAGGAGAACTCTTTGTATGAGATGTTGGTCTGTGGAGCGGTGATGTGTGAAGAACGCCTTGGGCTCATGTCTTCTGATGGTGAAGGTCTCCTCTGTGCCCCCAACCTGACACTTAGACAACCTCATATAGGTCGTCACTGGTAGTCAGAGTTCTCATGTTGTCCAATCTGTCTTTGTCCCTGCATAGACTACTGGTCCTCCATGCTGCTCCTGCAGATCTTTTTTTTTTTTTTTTTTTTTTTTTTTTGTTTGATGCTAACTAACTGCACCCGCGCAGCTTAATACAGAATTTCATCAATGTCAAGATGACTGAACTCCCCACGCCTGCGCGAGAGAATGAAGTCACCTTAGCCCAGCCAATTAAAATGGCTGGAGATTAGTACCCAGAAGCCGCCTGGCTGAAGATGTCAGTGGCTGGTGGGGAGCTCCGGTACACCACAGCACTGGAGCTAAGAAAAGAATAGTTCTGCTTTAAGTCTAATGGTGGGCCTTTTTGTTTTGGTCTACGCTTGTTCCGTCACCGCAGTAAATTTCTGTAGGATAAAACGGGTGGTATCGCTAGGAATTTCTGCTCTGGATTGGACACTGGGATGGACAGTCATGGTTGTCCATTCTCGCCTATTGCCAGAACTCGATCGTAGGATCATGCCTTCTGTTGGGAGATGCCAGAAGTTGTTGATGGTAAAGTGTTATCTAATGCTGGAAAGAGTAAATCTCTTGTTGATGTTCTGGAAGGGTGAACACAGATGGGAGGTGCAACCCTGGGAATAGGTACGTCAGTATGATCCATAGCGTTGTCTACATTTTCATTTTTTGGTGGGATGGTGTCACTCTCAGGTGGATTTTAGCTTGCGGGCCTGAACTCCTTGGTTGGCCTGCGCCTTTTCATTTGCCGGCATAAACCCTGTAAGTGAGCATGGATGGGATCTGTAGGAGGGGCGATGCTGGGAATGGGAAAGTCATCTTGTCCATAGCGTTGTCTGCATTTTCACTAATTGGTGTAATGACAACACTCGGTGGGATAATGTCTGTCTTCCGTGGGGTCTCTTCTTTGCGCTTACTAATATTTTTTGGCTTGCACTTCTTCATTTTGCCTTAGGTGAACACTGAGGGAATCCTGAGGAGTGGTGCTGGAAATGGGAACGTCCGTATCATCCGTAGTTTATTTTTCCGCATTTTCATTTTTTTGGGTATGGTGTCATCACTTGCTGACAGAATGATGTCACTCATTGGTGGGATGATGTTGCTACTCGTTGGTCGGAACATTCGAAAGATTGGCTTGAAATGTCGTTATTAGAAGCAGTAGCAGCAAAATGATGACAAGCCCCAGCCAGCATTCTGACCAGTGCTCAGCAACAATATTTAGAAGCATGGCTGGGACTGTGCTTTCTAACGCCACCCACCTCTTGGACCAGACTGACTGGAGCCCAGCAACCATCCATTGGTACCAATCTCTGGCATTTAAAGCATGGGTGAGACTGTGTTCTCTAAGGCTGCCCAGCTGTTGGACCAGACTGACAGGACCCCAGCAACCATCCATTGGTACCAATCACTAGCATTTTTATAAGCATGGGTGGGACTGTGCTCTCTAAGGCCACCCACCCCTTGGACCTGACTGACAGGAGCCCGGAAAACCATCCATTGGTACCAATCACCAACATTTATAAGCATGGTTGGGACTGTGCTCTCTAAGGCCTCCCACCCTTGGACCAGACTGACTGAAGCGCAGCAACCATCCATTGGTACCAATCACCGGTATTTAGAAGCATGGGTGGGACTGTGCTCTCTAAGTCCTCCCACCCCTTGGACCAGACTGACTGAAGCCCAGCGACCATCCATTGGTACCAATCACCGGCATTTTATAAGCATGGCTGGGACTGTGCTCTCTAAGATCGCCCAACCCTTGGACCAGACTGACAGGAGCCCGGAAACCATCCATTGGTACCAATCACTGGCATTTATTCCTAGGACTGTATTTCTCTTGCCCCCTGCTGTACCAGATATCTTGCAGTTGATAAAAGAATTCAATCAGCTCCAGGATCATCAAATATTGTGCTAATATTGTGGCCAGGTGATTTCTGCGCAGGATGTACCTCAGAATGAAGGAACTTATCAGGACTGTCCCCTTAAACCAGAATGTAGTGGTGGCCAGTAGTGAAAACCAGATGATGGGTCCTGGGGACTCTTTTTCCAATTCTCTGACCGTTTCCGCCATTGGCTGCTCTGTCATCTTCTTTTTTCTCCTCCTTTTCCCCCATGCAGTTCTCCGGGGGCTCATTTTCCAATTTTCTGACCATTTCCGGCATCTGTTCTTCCATCATCTTCATGCTCCTCTCCTTCTTCTCCATGCAGATATCTGGGAACCCTTTGATGAAATTTCGGTGTTCCTCCATCATCTTCATGTTCCCCCCTCCATACGGGTCTCTGGGGAGTCTTTGATGTCGTTTCTGTGTACTCCCCACGGGAGCAACAGAATAACAATCGCTGCGACGATTCTACTTCTCTTTTTTTTTTTTTTGTAGAAATGAGAAATAAAGAAATCAGCAGTTACTGATCACTGTGGATTGCTGGATATATATGGAAAGACGATTCCAATCGCTGTAGTTTGAGTGCAATGAGATACAAAGCAATCAGTCACAGGAGCTGTGTAAGAAAGCAGCTGTCTCTGGTGAAAAAAAAAACAGCAACTGACGACTCAGCCTGTGACTACAGTGAGGAAGGTCATGTGACCACAGGGTGTGTGCACGCGTGTGTGCCTGTGTGTCAGTGAGTGCGTGTTTATGTGTGACCAGTCAGCAGCCTCTGTTTCGCCTGCTCTGCAGGAGCTGCTTTACTGTGATTGGCTTATCTGGGATCCAGCCCAGGCAGCATTGGATTGGATACTATTATATAACATTGACATTTCCCTGTATTAATAATATATACGACTCTATTTATATTCATACAATGTTATTCAATTGTCATTTTATTTATATTAATGTATTAATAGGATTCTAATGATTCATATTAATTGTAATAACAATAATAGGTATAATATTAATAATCCCAATAATTATAATACAATAAAGCTGTTCTGTGTATTTGGATGACATAAATCTCCTGGATGTTCTCTGTGCTGACATTTCCCTGATGTAATGCACACAGGAGCCGCTAGAGGGCAGCAACACTCAGCTCCTCCTGTAGTTTCCCATAACAATAGATTTCCTCCTGGAAGACCGATCACCATGGAGACCAGCCAGGAAGTGTTTGGTGTTTTCAGGGTGTCTGGAGGGAAAGTTGGGGAAGCTGTGCCCCAGGGTGGCCGGGAAGGGAAAGTGCTGGGGGAAGGGAGACACTGGGAGGGGGGATTAAGACCTGCTGACCGAGAGCCCCCAGAAATCCTCCAGGTCCCCCCTCCGAGGTCCAACACTGAGCATGGGCCCCCCACACCCAATATTCACCATACTTCTATATACAGAGCGCTATATACATCTGACACACTGCACTCCTATATACTGTATACAGGACACACCGCACATATATACCGTATACAGGACACACCACACATATATACTGTATACAGGACACACCACACATATATACTGTATACAGGACACACACACAAACATATATACAGGACACACCCCACATATATATACTGTATACAGGACACACCACACATATATACTGTATACAGGACACACCACACATATATACAGGATACACTCCACATATATACTGTATACAGGACACACCCACATATATACTGTATACAGGACACACCAAACATATATATACAGGACACACCCCACATATATACTGTATACAGGACACACCCCACATATATACTGTATACAGGACACACCACACATATATACAGGACACACCCCACATATATACAGTATACAGGACACACCCCACATATATACTGTATACAGGACACACCCCACATATATACTGTATACAGGACACACCAAAACATATATACAGGACACACCCCACATATATACTGTATACAGGACACACCACACATACCGTATACAGGACACACACCCACATATATACTGTATACAGGACACACCCCACATTTATACCGTATACAGGACACACCCACACATATATACTGTATACAGGACACACCCACATATATACTGTATACAGGACACACCCCACATATATACACATATATACAGTATACAGGACACACCCCACATATATACGTATACAGGACACATCGTGTATATATATACTGTATACAGGACATACCCCACATATATACCGTATACAGGACACACTACACATATACTGTATACAGGACACACCGCACATATATACTGTATACAGGACACACACCGCACATATATACCTGTATACAGGACACACCGCACATATATGCTGTATACAGGACACACCCCAACATATATACTGTATACAGGACACCCCCATAAACATACAGGAATATATATACTGTATACAGGGACACACCCCACATATATACTGTATACAGGACACACCCCACATATATACTGTATACAGGACACACCACACATATATACTGTATACAGGACACACCACACATATATACTGTATACAGGACACATCCCACATATATACTGTATACAGGACACACGCCACATATATACTGTATACAGGACACACCCCACATATATACTGTATACAGGACACACCACACATATATACTGTATACAGGACACATCCCACATATATACTGTATACAGGACACACCCACATATATACTGTATACAGGACACACCCCACATATATACTGTATACATATGTACTGACAGGACACACGCCACATATATACTGTATACAGGACACACCCCACATATATACCGGCTGTCCAAAACTATATTAGATAACAATATCATTTTTTTCCATAATTTTGTCCAACTCCTGTATTTTCGCAGTTTTCCAAGTGCATGCAATTTTGGTATTTATTTATCCAACACAGGTGTGTGCATTCCATTACCTTACCACTGCCAGGCTACAGTTGATTGGCTATAATGTTGCCAATGGTTATAATGCTGCTAGCGTCTCCTTCTCAAATATGTGTATTGATAATGATAAAGAGAAGACAAAAACATACCCAAACAATTTAGTATTTCCATCACGGAACATTTTAATGATATATTAAAAAAATACAAATTAACATTCCATGTCATTGAAATTGCATTATTCTAAAAAATGTTTAGCTGCAAAACTTACAAATAGTGGTACTAATACTGTAAATGTGTATTTTTGGGCAAATTATAACTACATGTTGTTTTATATGAAATAGTAAGTGTTCTTTGGCATTGTTAACAGACAGATAAGATAACTGTTGGAGCAAGGTCTAAGTATGAAATGTATATAGGAGTGTGATTCAGGGGCCAGCTGATGAACACTGCAAGATATACTCCACCAGGCATACCTCTCAGTTTCTTCAATAGCTACATTTCAACCAGGTGTTGGTCCTGGATGTCGCTGGTACTCCATTCTGCCTGCAACCTGCAGGAATAGTACCCCAGTTTTGGGTTCAGACTTCTGGTCTAAGCCCTGCCTAAGTGCATTTCCTCTGTCCAATGGAAGCACTTGAGTGGCTATTAAGGAAACTCTTCTTGGAAAGAGAGTAGGCAGATGGCAGGACTTCGCTCAGAAGTCAGGGAAGTCAAGTCCCAAATAACACATGAAAGCAAATCAGATAGGTACACAGAAAAAAACGTATATCATATGTTGTGAAAACTGATCTTGGCCTGGACTTTGAAATGTTTGATGGCTTCATTTAAATATCATCTAGCAGCAGAAAAAAGAATTGCGGGGGAAATTTCTATGATAAAGGTTAATATTGTAGGAAAGGCTGTTTTGTTATTTTATCTTTATACGAGCTATTTATTTTTCACCCTATTATTTTTGTTTGGAGATCTGCTTCAATCTACAACACAACTAAATATACCCTGTGTTGTTTAAACCTAGTATAAAAGAATTCTATTTTCATTGTTTTCAAAGTATGGGTCTATGTATAAAAAAATTGATGTGCCAATAAATAAGTTTCTTACTACATTTTTTCCTAGGATCATCAACACCATCTAGTGTCAGTAATGCAGAAGTTTTTCTTGAAATAACTCGATCAGGAATAATACCTCATTATTGCCTCTAGATACTACTGACAAACCTAGGAAATAAATGTATTAGGAAAATTAGGGTAATGACTTCTGGAGCCTGTGCAAATAATTGGCATATTTGCACAGCAAACTTTTTTAAACATCAATTTACAATTTACATTGTCTGCACACATAATAGAAAAAAATGAACTGTACAAACAATAAAAATGAACTGTACAAACAATAAAAATCAAGATACTACAGTAACATTATGAGACACATTGGTGGTTTGTTTGTAACAACCACTACGTCTAATACTTAGCTAATTAGTTTAAATAATAAAAGGTTGTTTATGTAAGACAACTTATCAGTATATAAAAATAATTACAATTAAAAAGACATTATTTTAGGCTCACTACGATGAAATATTTGAATTATGACTACTTTTTAGTGCTACGTTGATGGTACATTGAATATACATATACAACTTCAATGAGTTAAAAGGTCTGGTGCATTTTTTTTTTTTTTTTTGAGTGATAAGACAATTAAAAGTATACTACAGTTTTGTATCTTTGAATCTGTTTGATATAGAATACTTATGGTGGTCATACATGCTTGAATAAATGATCAATCTATGGTTAACAACTTATTCAATCAAAAAGTAGATTAAGTCCTTTCCTACTCTAACAAACACTTGAATGAAATCTTTTGGATGTGTCTTTAAGAGACATAATCACAAATTTATTAAAGTATCTCTTAACATTATTAAAAATCAGAAGTTTATTTGAAATTAATATATGCCAAACAACGTTCTGATCTCTGCAAAGACAATTTTCTAAAGACAACAAACTAAACTATACATACTAAAGTCTCCCTAATTCAGCCTCCCTGTGCCTAAAATGGCCAATGGTATAATACAACAATGACTAAGCAGATTTAAAGTCTATGTCAAGGCAAAATTAAAAAGACATATGCAATACATGCACATTTTCCTGTGTTGTATCCCTTTTAAAGACCCTTTATAAAGGATAAAACATAGGGAGAAATACCTGTTGATCTGCAATGAATGGACTTAGCTCTTAATTTCCTATTGTGGGTTGACATCAAACAACATGATTGGTGTCAGCCCTGCCCAGTGTCTTTTTCTAAACCTCTCCCACTGTCTTCTTATTCACAGCATAGGGACTAACTAACTAAATATTCTCTCTGTGATCCCCCAGTAGTACTCCAGGCTCCTCCTCCTCTCAGTGTGCCCCCATAGTAAACTGCTTGCTATGGGGGCACAGCTGCAGGCTCACTCCTAAGCCAGGCTGTGTGTGTATATATAACTAACTAAATATTCTTTCTGTGATGACAAAGGCAAAGAGCCCAGGTTAAAGGACAACTTTGAATTTCTTAAAAAGAAATCAATAAGTATTTTTTTTGCATTCATGAGAAAAAGGAAGCAAATAAGAAAAGTTTTTTTACAGGGTATGCATTATATATAAATATATAATATATATATATATATTTATATATCAGTCATGCATTATTAGTAGACTTTTTGCAAAGACAGTTGTATTTTTTTCTCTTCTGGTCCTTTTAATAGAGAGAACAGTCAATTCTGTAGGTATCAGAGAGAAGCGAGCAAATAGTCTCCAGTTATTAGCGAACATGGTCCAAATAATCCCTGGACTCGTAGAAAGTGTGGTATGATATACATCCTCCGGGAGAACACAAAGCACACGTCCTTGAAATATAAGGATAACCATAATCTTAAAATGAAGGTGATTGTTCTCTGAAGCTTTCCAACCCAGAAATCACATTTTACGATCATCAGAGACAACAGAATTGAAAAACAGGCACATTTCAGGGGTTGTTTAAGATGTGTCCTTACAAACAAATCCTTCAGATTTAGAAGTAGCACCATTTATTAGGACTAGAAGTGCCACATTATTTCTCTGTAGAAAAAAAGAGTAAGGAAAAAAATGTATTACATACAATACAATATAATATAAGATAAAGTGAGCTCTGAAGAGTCAGTTGACCCAAAACTGATAATTAAAGTGATGGTAAACGCTCACATTTTTTTCCTCTTAAAATAGTTAACATGTCATATTTACCTGCTCTGTGCAATGGTTCTGCACAGAGTGATTCTAAATCTCCTCTTCTGAGATCCCCCAGTGGTACTCCAGGCTCCTCCTCCTCTCAGTGTGCCCCCATAGCAAACTGCTTGCTATGGGGGCACAGCTGCAGGCTCACTCCTAAGCCAGGCTGTGTGTATATATAGACACACACAGTGTGGCTCAGTCCCGCCCTCCACTCTCTTCTCACAGGCCGTAATTGACAGCAGCAGGAACCAATCGCTCCCGCAGCTGCCAGAGTCTCTGTGAGAACAGGAAGACAGGAGAGAGAATGAATGGACAGCTAATAGGAGTACACCAGCAGGTCCTGCAGGATGGGAATGAGTGGCGGTGCCCCCTCTCTCTTCATTATTGTGATGAGCAACATTCCTTACCACATTCTGTGTTTGTTTTTAACTCTATGTGGAGATAAAAAGGAATCTTCTTAGTGGGGCACAGACAGCAATTTAAAGCGGAGTTCCACTCACCCTGTCAAAAAATAAAAGTCAGCAGCTACAAAAACTGTAGCTGCTGACTTTTAAAAAACAGCCACTTACCTGTCTCTTGATCCCGCAGTGTGTCCCCTGCAGCCTGTCAGTGTGGGCAGCCGGCTGTGATAGCTTGCAGCTTCACAGCCGGGTACCCTCTGCGCATACACGAGTAGCGCTGTGCTTTATGAATGGTCCTGTAGTCTTCTGAGACCTGTCACGTGTCCCAAAAGACTACAGGGAGGGAGGGAGGACACCTTCCGCTTCCGATCGGACCGGAGTGAAGTGGGAGTGGGTACCTGTCGAATTCGGGTAGCCGCTCCCCCCCCCCCCCCAAAGGTGCCAGTCCTTAATGGGGTTCAGTGGAGCAGTCCTTAAAGCGGAACTTCCCCTTTTGGGTGGAGTTCCGCTTTAAAAACTGACAGAGATTCTAACTCATTCCTACCCTATTCAAAAATTATAAAAATATTGGCTTCAGATACACTTTAACATATAGAAGGATTCCCCAAAAGAATAGATAACATAAGAAATATAAGAGGATATATACAGAAATATAGAAGATGAAAAGGACGTGTATGAAACATGACAATATCTTGTATAAAAATTAGGATCAATTACCTCCATCTAGGGAGTAAACACAGGACTTTTTACATTCTTCTTCTGTATCAAAGCGATTACCATTACCACTGCAGCCTCCATACCAGAACTGGGCACAGGAATTGGCTTGTTTGTCATAATACCATTTTATTATGTATGTCCTACAAGGACCCTGATCTAATGGCAGCTTGCAACGTGCGTCCTGGATGTACTCTGAAATAGGAGGAACACAAGGGTGTGAGCAATGATGTACATAGCTAGTTATTGCTGCAACAACATTAAAGCTACAGAAACAAGTACTTTTGGATCACAGAGCCCAAACAGATCCTCTTGGATGCAGATAGTGAGGTATGCATGGTAATGCATCCACTGGGATGCAGATAGTGAGGTATGCATGGTAATGCATCCTCGGGGGTGGTACCATGACACTCATTTATTTATAGTATGTTCCCAGTCTTCCAGGAGACTGAGGTCATCTTGTGGCAGAATAGAAGTATCTTGATGGACATTACAGATGAGTATTGCAGCCTGAGCTGCTTACTGTAGAACTGTTTTTACCTTGCCTGG